ATTGATGCCTTCAACACGATTGACAGAGAAATATTGCTAAACTCCCTCTCTTCAGGCGGCGTTTAGTCTCCTACGATTGAACTCATGGCCAACTGCTTCTCCAACCGTCAGCAGTTCACACGCTAAAAAGATCGTACACCTTCACTGCTGCGCTCCTCATGAGGCGTACTGTAAGGCGCTATTTTATCTCCTTTTCCATTTGACGCTTACATTTCCTCTATGCCTGTGAGCCATTCTTCTATTCCTGTTAAGCATGCAGACGATATAATATTCGAACCGCCCTACCCCAACCCATCATCTCAGACTACTCTACAAGGTGACATATCAGGAATAGTTGAGTGGTCTCAACAAAGGAACCTCCGTATGAACCCCTTGAAAAATGTAATGTAATTTTTTCCCTTTTGAAAGGTCAAAAGTATGGTGAACTGTCAAATGCCAGCCTCTTTTATCTGTCTTAAATGACCAGATGGATCAACAAATCAAATGCTTTGATTTTATTTTCAACGGTGACCACCCGGTCTGATCACGTCAATAACACTTTTCCGAATGTCAGGAGGCTCACATTTTACGTTTTACGTCTTAAATTACGTTCTATCTCAAATCATCTCATAAGACTTTTTGTTTCTTTCTTGCGTTTTTCTCCACTTTCCTAAGGAGTCTCCTGTTATCTTCCCCGGCCTTTTAAACAAGAACCACAAACTCATTTACCGATCCTTCAAGTTTCTGTCGGTATGTAGTCTTAAACCACGGGAACATCTGGTACAGCATGTGGTAGCACACCACCTCAATACCTGTAAAAAAATTTCAAAGAAGATTTCATCTGATTGTTCCCATCCCCTATATCTTGCTCTTAGACAGTCCCTTGTTCATCCATCAGTTCCAGTTGTAAACTTATAAAGTCATTCTGAAGTTTACAGGTACTCTATTGTCCCTTATCTCGCCAGATTTCTTGCAAACCGTGAACTCGTAGCAGAAAATCTGCTCAAAATGCTAATCTTAACCAATGATAAACCCCATTGCATGCCATTGGTTTTGTGATGTTGCTGTCCGTTTCACTTCTTTTAATTTCTGTATTATATTTCCCTTTTTATTGTTGACGCACTGTGGTTATGCGGTTGCTGTATATCCACCCCTCAGGTTGTTTAAAGCGATTTTCAACTCACTGCATCACATCGTTCTTTGGTGCTAGTTTCATTCACAGTGGAGGCTTTTTTATTAAATTCATCTCTGTTATCCAGTATTGGTCACCAAACAGTAAAAACCGAACGCTCATACAAGATCTTTCGCCAAATTTTACTACTAATTTTACAAGTGGTCTTCGTTTTTTGTTGTCTTCTATTCGTCTTGGCAGCCCACATGTAGCTACTGTACCAAAAACCATGCATTTGGGTCAGATAGTCTTTCACATGCTCAGTGAGACGTTCATTGTCCTGTTTTATCCATCTATGGAGTAAAAGCCAATCTGGTACTCTGCTGTACCTATCGATGTAGTTGGGGTTTTGCTTCACAGGACAGTGTTCTACTATCCGGTACAATGGATTCCAAAATAAGACCTATTTTCCGATTAATCCCTTCAGAAAACCTCCCCTTGTAAGTTTAAGCGTACAAATTTACATCCCAGAGGACATTTTCTGAACACAAACTTCTGTCGCCCTTAGTGTATCGGTTGCGAAACGGGATTTTTCTGGATCCTCGTTATACATACAGTTATTTTTCTATCTCTCAGTTTCACCTCATCCTAGATAATCATTAGGTATGCCTCGTGGCAACTTCTAAATCATCACTAAAAATATTTTTGTTCCATTTCTATCCTAAAATGTTCACCTATATTTACGTGCTCTCCGATATTTTTCCCCCTTCTCCTTATGATGGGTGCACCTTTCGGACTCGTAGCCGGAATTGCTTGCTCGGTTGTTTCTCGGTTGTCCTCTTTTGGCTCTATGTGTCGATCCGGACACGTTTTCCGTGCTGGATGTGAGCAAATTGTGCGACGGGTCCGATTCGCTCCCACGGGTACGCGGTATTACTCGGTTGTTTGGTGCTCTAACTGTAGCTCTTCCACCTCCGGCTGTTCGTTCTCCGCGACCTCCCTACCTCAATCCCGCTCTGCTTTGGCGTACTGTGGCGGCGATCAGTAACGCGACCTGGATCCCATCGGTTTCGGCTGAAGTACGTCGTGTGACATCTGAGTACCTGTTTTTCTTAAGTGATGAATGATGGTATCTCACAATCATCCTATGCCCGATTCTCATTTCACCCTCCTTCTGTTTGCCTAATGTGTTGGTACGTATTTCTTTGCCTGATGAACTCATTGCCCGCTGAAACGTGGCTGCTTTAGTACTTTCCATCTGCCCATCACTCCTAGCACAAGTCGAGAATCGCTTTATTCAGACAGCAGTGAAATTTTCAGCAGTCTGCTCATTAAATTTTGTATCATCGTTCAAGCGTTTAAACAGTTTTGATGTAATAAAAAAAATAATGATAGAAAAGAACAATTAAATTGATTTAATAATAATAACCAAAAGGTATCGGCTTACTGATCCTTTCAGCTCAGCAATCATGGCGCCTGATTGACAAACATCTAGCAAGATATGAGGTAACCGGACGGTGGTGGTAGGTCATCGTTAGTTAGCATGAATTTCTGCTAGAGTAAGAAGATATGCAATTGGGTGGAATAGGTTTGAGTGGACGAATGGTTGTGATATTTGTACAATGGTATATGAATAACATATTCTCAATTTGTATAGAACACTGAGCTTGGTGCTGAATGCGGCGAACGCATAACAAAGTCAGACTTGAAACAGAGTGTATAGCATAGTTGTGTAATTAGTTGTTCGACACAATGTCACACATCTACAGCGTATGGGTGTAAAATGCATCACTGATGAGAATATCAACAATCGTCGCAATGGTGTCGGTCAATATCTAAAAAAAAGTAGGTCTTACAAGACGAGAAATATTTTTTCTATAATGAAATCCAGTGATTTGAAACTAGAGAGTCCGCTAGCACGCAATGTAAATCATATACGTCGCCGTAAAGTTTGATTCTTAGCTCAGATTACAGGTGAACATTAGTGGAAACGATGTGCGAGTTAAAAAGAACGGGAAATAGGCGGCATTCAGGGAACGTGTAAAAATGTCTATCTTGACACAGGAAAATAGCCTTCTTATCTTGTGGAAAACGATCGCTCTGTTCGTAAATCAAATCAGTTCGTGGGATGATGTCACTCTAAGACAAGTTACGTAATGCTCTGAAGAGATTGATCGTGTATCTAAATGGAACTGAGAGCGGTGGCGTTCCACAGAATGGAAACGCTCACCTTCTGACACTTGTAAATGCATTAAGAAACAAACTGGAAGTAGAGAACTATTCAAAGATTTAAAATGATGAAGAATAGATACTTGAAAACCCTAAGTTCTCATCTGAACAGCTACCAACTGTTACATCGTCAGCATATTGAATAGAACGGTTGTCATAATTGATAGGCAATTTCCGAATGCATAAAGAAAGTGGGAAAGGAGATGATATCGTGATGCGCGGTTCTTGAGTCACCTAGAAGAAAACTGGTGTTTTGTTCATTGTAAGAAGTCAACTACCACCGCTTTTCGAGGGAATCAACTATCAAGCACAATAAAGGCAGGGGGAAACTTGCTTCTTGCGGGTGGGAGAGAATTTGGGGTCTATTGACACAATTAACCACATTACCGTAATTGATGAAACATATACGAAGGGCTTTTCCGTTGCAGTCAAGAGTAGATATAACAATACAGGCAAGAAAATCAAAGGCATCCAGTGAAATGGCACTCGTCACACAAACTGCGGTTTGAATCCATACTTGACCAAACCGGTTTCTCAAGAAAAATGGAGGTGTGTGCAGTTAACCTAAACTTAGCCTCCTTTCGGGGGTGATACCAACGCATCTTTGGCCGGTTGAAATTTTGCCTTCTTTGATACGTCGATTGATTAACATGTGTAGCGCAACACTAGTACGACAATCATCCGAATGACCACGTGATAAGTGAATGTATAGGCTGAAGCTTTGTCGATGGACTTTGTCATCACCACAGTAACACTGTCTACCCGTGCGTATCTGTGGTACCTGGGAGTTTTTACTTTCCGTCAATCTGGCTATTAATTATGTTGGATACTTGTCGACCTATTTATGTTGGAATAACACTACGCGCATTTGGTTCGATGGATATGAAGCAGCATAATTTTCTCTATTAATATCGGATGACATGAAACAATATTCCAAATGGCAGACCAAAACCATCAAATTGAACAGCAGTCGTGCTGGTCCTGTCGTTCACAAACAGCCTAAGATGAACAGTTTCAGCCATTGCTAAATATCTGGAAATCATTTGTGAGAGCGCTATGTGGAAACTATCAGTAAGTGCGCCATTTCTCACAATCTGTCTCTTTTACCTTCCATATTCTAAGCATCCGGGCGATCTTGTAAGGAGTACCATTACGTTGGTAGTTGAGATCAGCACACACTATTGGATCGAATGCTGACTCTTGGTCGTTCACATTTCGCAGAGATAGTGGAGATATGCAAGAGTTTACAGTGCTAGACTTAAATCCCAGTACAGCTCGTCATGTGTCTGCATTTTACTGGTGGTGGTCAACATGTTTTATTTACTGTTACTGGTGTGCTTTGGCGCCGAGGGCCTGAGGTTCGAACCCTGCTACCGCTAACCAACTTTGATGATAGACAGCTCTGCTGTCGTCCGGCTCACTACGACGTTTATCTTATTGAAACCCTATGTGTTTCGTTACTACGAATCCAAGATTGCTGGTTTTAACGGGTAAACGGTAGATCTTCGTAACTGTGTTGTTCATCCCTAAACAGCATGCAGTAAAATGTACGCCGAAAGATAATATCTATCTGTTTAGAAAAAAACGCAGGATTGTTGCTCGTGGAGAGTTTGTAAATATAGGCTTTCCGTGTGAGTTCAACGTGGCCAATCATCTCTGATTTATGTCCGAAGCACTGTATACATTTCATTCTGGTTAAAAAACAATAACAGAGCTTAGGTACTGGAAGTTAATTTAAGTGCTTAGGTAAATCAGTAGACTCAGTTGGCCCGCCCACGTGTTCACTGAACGACAATCAGCTGATGCGATTATGCATAACCTACTCTTTACGTGTACATCACCTTCGGCTGCAGCCCATTGTTTGGCTTCTCATGGTCAATCTCCAACGTTTGACACTCATCAGTGGCAAGTTTACTGATCCAAGTGGAGTAGTCATGACCCCTACTCTCCTCGGTACTCTAACCCGATCTACTCAAGCTAAATGGATCACCCAGATTTGTTACCCGAGTATTGTTTCCAGTCGTTAGTGAATTCATCCCTCGAGGTAATTTTTTTCGATGCACATCTTCCTCCAAAGCATTAGCATCACGGTTTATTTTGGCAAGTCGCATTGCAGTGTTCTTGTACAAACTTAACCTGTCTGTTCCTATATTCGATTGCAAATCTGGTGGTTCGTTTCGTTTTCAGGTCATCCACGGTCTCTTGGACACCGGCGCTTCAGTGCTTTTCGCTATCTACGGTAACCAGACCGCACGCTTGCTGTCCACGATAACATCAATCATAAAATCATCGCCAGAACTGTCACAGTTGATCCCGGAAATTTCCCTACTGTCGACAATTGAATCAGCTCAAAAACTCCGCTCTTCCGGATTAGCCAAAGCGCGACTGGACGCTTCTTTCTGGTCCGCAATTCAATGAAGTATGAGCCCTCCAACCACTGTGTTGACGAGTATTTTCACTTCACATCAGATCGGCTATTATTTTCTTACAAAAGACACATTGACAGATGTAATTATATCTCAAATAGTTCTGTTTTTCTGTTTGTGAATACAGTCACACGAAAACTGAAAATTTAGTGAGTATGTAAATAAACAATTAGTTTTGAACTCACACGAGTGTACTGTTGCCTATCTAACTAAGTCAGTTTATCGCATTATTCATGTAAAATTTGAGGGTTTCTCGATTTCATTTTTCACGGGATTACAGCCTAACGTCTCATAGATCTCCGTGACCGGATATTCATATAGGCAGTTTCTAGAAACTGAATATCTAGTTTGGCATGAACACTTCGTAGATGAAGGCAAGATAGCCTGTTCTCACGCTCAGCCGTTCGTTATCAGTTGACTTTTATGTCCACCATAATCGTATCTTGGACATCATTATGAAAAATATACTGCCAAAGGCTGTTTCATGGTTACTGGTTGGATACAGGAGCTTTACTGAACGTTTTGATTCCTCGAACAGCTATTCAGCACCGGAACTGGGCATTCTCAGTCAATAAAAAGCCTTCTTAATCGTTATTGTGGACTGATATCGAAGAATAGATTGAGAACCAATGAACACAGCAGAACTATCCCTCGTGATGAACTTGGAAAAAGCTCCAGCTACATTCCTCCACGATATCTATTTCCCTTTACAGTATGAGTCAATTTAAAGCCAACCCTTCTGATTAGTGATCCCCAAAGACGGCTGATATGAACTCCTGAAAAGCATCTTATATGCTTAATTTTTCTGGATGCTTTAGATGGACACTTCTGCTTTCTGACAACTTTTCTTGAAATAACCGTTTTTATCGAAGCAAGTATTTTTCGATAAGCCTTTCTCAAGCCGCTTACCGATCATAGTGAAACATTATTAGCATCAATCATGAATAAGAGAGCGATTAGGTAGTGTAGATATCTCTCGTCTTTCGGGTTGGGGTCCAAAAGACTCCGAAGCCGCATGGTTGGAGACACTAAAGGTCATGGCTGCGAACCGACAGCAATGGCGATCATGCTGTTACTTCTTATCAGATCAGAATGCTTGAAATTGTATGTATGCATAGTTGGGGGATGTACTCTGTGTGTTAACTATATAGGTTCACTTTCTTTTCCCGTCCCTAGAAATAGGCCCAATCCCCGTCCTCCTTACACATTCTCACTTATCTTGTATGTATTATGAGTTTGACGGCGATCAGTGAAGTTCGCTTCACTGTATTACGCTGTACAATAATAATGATGATGATGAAGAGTTTGTCACGGACAACTTGTCTTACTTAGTCATGCGATTGGTTTAACTGACTCACGGCCTCGGGGTAACTGGATGGCGTATGCATTCAATCCACTGCCACGACTATGTACCACCATGGTGTGGTGTGATAGCTTATGTGCCTCCATAATCCAGCAGCTAAATAGTATGGCTTTCGCAGGATTAGATTCACTCAGTTTCACAAGGTTCGGTGATAGAGCAGCAGCTGCCTCTTCTTTTGATCATCCATTGTCGTCCCTGCATAGGTCGCTGTAGCAAATAACCACGAGAAGGGGCAGCCCGCTGGATGAGAAACCCCCTGGATGGAAGTAGGATCTGGATATATGAGGCTTCTTCTCGATGATGGGAAAGTTCTTCACACTTGATTGAACAACTGCCACCCGCCCAAGGTGGGTAGCCCCCAGCCACAAACGTGCTGTTGTCTTGTTTACCGCGAATCTCTAATACATTCTCTTCTTCGAAGAGGCGTGTCTCCTTAGTATGAAAATATTACTGAGGTCACTATACTCGCATACTTGTAGCGTAAGGGTCTGTGACGAGCTATGCTGGTTGTTCGAAACCAGGAGTGGTGTTCTTCAAGGGTACCCTATTTTATCGTTCCCGTTGAATTTCGTCCTAGTCGAAATACCGGCGATCTCAATAAGTAGTCTCTTAAGTGCTAGTATTGAATGGACAGCTGGAAAAAAGTAATGCTATTTGGAGTATGCTGACGATTTTGTTTGTCCGCTCGATTGTATGGAGAACGCTCAAAGCGCACTTAAAGTTCTGACTAGTTCTGTTTCCCCCTTCGTTGTGTTTAGCTCCTTCGAAATAAAAAGTTACGCTGCAAGCTTGGATGTCCTTTGGTCAAGAATTGGCTGAAGTTGACTGCTGGCACATAGGTAGTTGTGTGACCAAGGACGGTAGTGCAATAACGGAAAGAATTGCATGTGTCCCGAAGGCTCGAGCAGCGTACACTGAACTGAAGCATCTGCGGCGATGACGTGACGTTTCGCTGAAAATAAAAAGTCGCGTATATTGTGCTACCATTCGATCAGTTCTGCTTTATTGTTTTGAGACCTTAAATTTGCAAGTAGAAGCCATCAATCGGCTGGAGGTTTTCGACAATCGATGCTTACGTAGTCTGGTCTAGTTAGGATGGAGTGAGCGGGTTAGTAACCTAGATGTAAGTCGTGTATTTCAGTATGGGTCGTCGAAAAATTCACTGTCACATCGAATTGAGTTAAATGGGCTTTCATTGGTAAGGACATGTTTCGTATGTTTAACCGTCACCTACTGCACCGCGCCTTCATTGCGTCTGCCGCTCTGGGCTTCAGAAAATCACGTTTAGATCAACAGATAACTTGACGATGAGGCATGAAGAACTACACAGAGCGATTAGGTAGAATAGGTGTTTCCCATATTTAGCGCTTGAATTCCAAAACCCTGTGATATGGCTGGGTGTCGCAATCAGTGGTGCTCGTGCATCCACTCATTATTCCCCTATCACTATTCTATATAAATTCTCCTTGTTCCGCTTGAATTTGATTTCAACATTCCAATCTTCATTCTGCTCTTTTATTCAAATGGGGCACCAAAAGACAGCAACCAAGACCGGCGCACAAAAGTGCAGGGTTAATGGCTGTAAAAACTGAACTGAACTGAATGGTTGGTCGGCGAAACTGGAGGAAACGGGAGCCAACCGACAACAGTGACTTCTTTTTGACACTTCTTATCAGTTTGAAACACTGGGTCCCCTTTATTCATCGTATCAAGACCGAAAGAAGATAAATGTCGCGAGATTTTAACATTTCGTTTAATTCTCTCAATCGCTGACACAGAACAAACAAGCATATTAGATCCTAGTGAACGGACGTGTACAGTTAGACAGAGGCTATTCAGTTCAGTTTAGTTCTTTCAGCCATTAACCATGCACTTTCGTGTGCCGGTTTTGGTTGCCCATTTGGATAAAATAGTAGAATGCGGATTTTCTAATCCGCAGAGAGCAGATTTAAGCGGAANCCCAGCCATATCGCTCAGTGTCTCTAACGACCGGTGACCATGATCTCTGGGTCCCCCATCCAGGGAGCCTAACGGGACCTATGTGAGCCAGTCTCCTGGTCAGGGTTTTCATACTCTCATGCCAGGTCGTAGCTTGACCAACCTTCATTTTTTTCCAACCGCTACCTGCCTCGGCAAGCATCGCTCGCAGTGGCAACCTTCCTGGTGAGATGCGTAGCACATGTCTCAACCAGCGTAATCTATGGAGGTNTTTCTAATCCGCAGAGAGCAGATTTAAGCGGAAGGTAGCACATTTTCATAGACTGAAGTTACAAGAATAATGAGTAGATGCATGAGCGCCACTGTTTGCGACACCCAGCCATATCGCTCAGTGTCTCTAACGACCGGTGACCATGATCTCTGGGTCCCCCATCCAGGGAGCCTAACGGGACCTATGTGAGCCAGTCTCCTGGTCAGGGTTTTCATACTCTCATGCCAGGTCGTAGCTTGACCAACCTTCATTTTTTTCCAACCGCTACCTGCCTCGGCAAGCATCGCTCGCAGTGGCAACCTTCCTGGTGAGATGCGTAGCACATGTCTCAACCAGCGTAATCTATGGAGGTTGATCACTTTCTCTAGTGGACGACCGCGACTGCCTAAAACTTTACGCCTAACCTCAGCATTGCTAGTCCGGTTACCCCACCAGACACGTGCAGTGCTATGTAGACAGCGGTGTTCGAACACCGACAATCTATTTTCATCCTGTTCCTTTAGTGGCCAAGTCTCTGCACCGTAGAGCAGGACTGGCCGAACGGCTGCAGCATATACTCGACCCTTCACAGACAGCCGGATGAAGCGACGGCGACACAGATGGCTCAAGTTGGCAAATGCCAACCGAGCTTTCTGTACGCGCGCCGACACTTCGTCTGTGATGCGTCCGCCAGGTGAGATACAGCTGCCCAGGCAGCAAAATTTGTCTACTTTCTCTACAAATTCTCCGGTCAGGGTGAGGCTGGGGACTAAATCAACCCAATCTTGGAGCAGTATTTTACACTTTGAAGGTGAAATGTGCATGCCGAACATCGCTTCACTAGCACTCAAAGTATCCAGAGAGGCTTGCAACTTACCTGAATCTTCACAATGTCATCTGCATACTCTAGATCAGACAGCCTGCCACCTGGAAGTAAATCGATACCGCTATCCCTGCATGAGGATAGGGCTGTTTTAAGAATTAAATCTATGACAAAGTTAATTAGAAAAGGAGAGAGAGGGCAACCCTGTCGAACACCACTTTCCGTGGTGAACTCGGGTGAAAAAGTGCCGTAAGCTCGGACTCTGCTTCGACTATCATTATNTCTCGGGCACTCCCTTTAGGGAAAGTCAGCGCCAGAGTTTAGAGCGGTCGACTGAGTCGAAAGCCGCTTTTAGACCGAGGAAGGTAGAAATGGTGGGTCTACGAAAAGAGTGTCTGTGTTCTAGGATTTGACGAACAGTAAAGATGTGGTCGATACAACCTCGACTAGGTCTAAAACCACGTGGGACAGACAATTGACGGAGTTTGATCGCGGTGAGAAGTTTAGAGGCAATGTCAATTAAACTGATTCCTTTGTGGTTTTCACAAGAGGACCTCCGCCCTTCTTGTAAATCGGTATGATGACCGATTCACACCATTCAGTTGGAACCTATTTTAT